CAAGCAACGTGGTGCGGCAGGTCCTGGAGGCCGTGGCCTACCTGCACTCACTCAAGATCGTGCACAGGAACCTCAAGGTGAGGCCAGGAATCAGGTCAAAGGGTCAGTTGGCAACTGATCTGGGGCCGGGGCAGGCAGCATCTTGGGATCTTGGTCTAGTCTCTGAGGTCCTCATGGAATCTTCCTTTGCCCACCCACATGCCATTCCTGGCTGGAGCAGCTGGAAAATCTGGTTTACTATAATCGGCTGAAGAACTCAAAGATTGTCATCAGTGACTTCCACCTGGCTAAGCTAGAGAATGGCCTCATCAAGGAGCCTTGTGGGACCCCCGAGTACCTTGGCAAGCAGGGGGTGGGGCAGGGCCAGGGTGGGAGACAGCCTTCAAGGAGTGGGTCTGGGTAGGGAGGGAAGGAAGTCCCCATCCCAGGAAGTGGGTGTGAGTGGTACCAGGCCTGGCTAGGCCTGATATTGACCAGCAGATGGACAAATTTGCAGCCCCAGAGGTGGTAGGCCGGCAGCGGTATGGACGCCCTGTGGACTGCTGGGCCATTGGAGTCATCATGTACATCCTGTGAGTGGATGGGTGGGCAAACAGGCTTGCAGCCAGGCAGGGTGGGGGCCTGTGCCATGGCCTAGGTGACCCTGCCCTTTGGCTCCCATGCAGACTTTCAGGGAACCCGCCTTTCTACGAGGAGGTGGAGGAAGATGACTATGAGAACCATGACAAGAATCTCTTCCGCAAGATCCTGGCTGGCGACTATGAGTTTGACTCTCCATACTGGGATGACATTTCGCAGGCGGGTGAGGAGGTGCCCAGCATGCGGGTAGAGTGAAGGGTTGGTGTGGGGGACCTGCTCTCAGCCTCCTCTGCTGGACTCTGTTCCTACCCCTCAGCCCATTCATCACCTCTAGACAGTGAGATGGGGCGCCCATGCCTAGCCTCTCCCTGGCTTTGTCCCCAGCCAAAGACCTGGTCACAAGGCTGATGGAGGTGGAGCAAGACCAGCGGATCACCGCAGAAGAGGCCATCTCCCATGAGTGGTGAGCAGGGCCCAGGGAGGATGGGAGGAGAGGCCAGGGTACCTTTGGCCTCTGTCCTCCTCACACTTAGCAGTCCCCATTCTTAAGGCCCTGAGTGGGGGTTATGGGACACCCAGAGCTCAGGCAGCCCAGAGGGTCTGCCTGGTAATCCCTGGATCTTACAAGGAAAGGGCTGGGCAAAGTCTCCATGAAGGCCCATACCCCATCAGATCCAGATGTACTTACACCCTTTCCAGGATTTCTGGCAATGCTGCTTCTGATAAGAACATCAAGGATGGTGTCTGTGCCCAGATTGAAAAGAACTTTGCCAGGGCTAAGTGGAAGGTAAGGCTTGGATGGCTCCCTTTTCTGGACTGATCTCAAGTGTTCCTTCTGGCACCTACAGTTTCTTGCCTGTATCACACCCCCGCAGCCACATACAGGCTTTTCTTCAGCCATCAGGGGTGGCTGTAGCCACCGTCACTACCTTAAGCTGGTGTGCTGAGCATCTGGGTCGCTAGCTCTGGAGTGGTCAGAGGCAGCCAGGGGAACCATGGAATGGTCTGGGTTTGGTGTTTGCCAAGGAATGGATCCAGTTTCTGTAAGGCTCATTCTGAGCCTCTCTCCATTGTCCTTTCAGAAGGCTGTCCGAGTGACTACCCTCATGAAACGGCTCCGGGCACCAGAGCAGTCCAGCGTGGCTGCAGCCCAGTCTGCCCCAGCCACAGACACTGCCACCCCTGGGGCTGCAGGTGGGGCCACAGCTGCAAGTGGAGCTGCCCCAGCCCCTGGGGGCAGTGCCACCTCAGCCACAGTGGGTGATGCTGCTCTTGCTGCGAAGAGCAATAATGTAGCCCCCGCAGACCGTAGTGCTACCCCAGCCACAGATGGCAGCACCACCCCAGCCACTGATGGGAGTATCACCCCAGCCACCGATGGGAGCATCACCCCAGCCACTGATGGGAGTGTCACCCCAGCCACTGACAGGAGTGTTACCCCAGCCACTGATGGGAGAGCCACACCAGCCACAGAAGAGAGCACCGTGCCCACCATCCAAAGCAGTGCCACCCCTGAGCCAGCTTTGGCCCAGCCGGACAGCACAGCCCCAGGGGGCACAACAGGCTGGGCTCCACCCTCTAGTAAAGGGGAAGAGGCTGCTGGCTATGCCCAGGAGTCTCGGAGGGAGGAGACCAGCTGAGTGGGCAGGCTGATGGGGGACAGGGGATGGGCAGGAGGGTGGGAGAGTGGATGAGGGGCTTTTCACTGTACATAGAGTCACTGGCATGATGCCCTCACTACCCCCCGCCCCTCCCTCCCAGCATGGGGCATGTCTGGGAGCCACGGGAGAGCAGTCTCATCTCCTGTGTGTATGTGCGTGAGTGGTGGGCAGGCCAGAGGCAGGACTGGCCTCAGCCCCTGCATGGACTCCTCGTGGCTTTTCTGTCTTTTGCTAGCTTCACCAGTTTCTGTTCCTTGTGGGATGCTGCTCTAGGGATACTCAGGAGGTCCCTGTTACTCTTCCCCTTTCCTTTTTTGCCCATAATTCCCCCAGGCAGGCCCTGCAGGTCCCATCCTCTCCCAGGCTCTAAACTTGGGTGGCCTTGCCCTAAGAGCTAGTCCTCCAGTGAGGCTCTGTCTGCGGTCTTAGGCTCTTGCACATGAAGGTATGTGCCTGTGGTATGTGGGATGCTCTAGGAGTGGACACAGGCCAGTATAGAGAATGCAAAAATCTAGGGCAGTATGCTTTAAGACAAGACTGGTCGCATGGCTGGGGGCACTGCTTGGTAGACATGAGGGTCCTCAGAAGTGAAAGAGAATGAATAGGAGGGTAGAAGCTTCCATCTTTGTTCCTGGGAAGTTCATCCCAAGACCCTTGTGCTGTTTCCCAGCCTCCTAGGTCCTACAAGTAGGACTTTGTGCCCTGAGTTTCATGAGCCTGTAAGGGGAAGGAGGAGCAATTAGGATGTGGCAATGAGAACTGGGAGGGCAGAGTGCAGGCCCAGCACCTAGTGCACCAGCCTAGCTGGCTCCTTACCCTGGGCCACACAGGAAGGGCTGACATCCCCTGGCTCTTTCCAGATGGCCCCTCTCAGGCTCAGTCCACAGTCCTATCTATCCTACAGGGCCTGCCGCATGGCAGTGTCCCATAGTCTGATTTGGGAGTTTGCCCTTCACAGGGGCAGATTTTCTGCTCTCCCAGTTCAGCAACAGAGAGGAACCCCTCTATGTCTGTGACCCACTTCCCTTTCTGCCAGGGGCCTCTGAGCCATGCTGAGTTGCTTTTGCTGGGATGAGGAAGTGGAATAAGACTCCCCAGTTTCCTGATGGAGGCTCCTGGCAGGTCCCCTTTGTCAGACCCTACCACAGCCTGGGCTGGCAGCCACACTGGTCCCGGCCCTTCCTCAGCACTCTGGTGGCAGTCCTGCCCTTCTCCCTGCATGCCTGTGGGTCTGCTCTGGTGTATGAAGGTTGGTGGGCTAACTGTGTGCCTGCTGAACCTGGCAAATAAATGTCACCCTGCCAAAGCCTCTGGCCACCCTCTTGCCTTTGCTTCCTCTGTCTTACTGGGGAGGGGCCCCTGGAAGGCAGTGGGGAGGGGAAAGGCTGGGATCAGGTTCACAGGTAGTGGCCTGTGCTCAGTGCCATGTGGATTGCTTGGGCTGAGAGTGCACATCATCCTCACCACAGTGTGTTACTTGATGGTGGTGGTGGGGGTCCTCTGGACTCTAGAAATCTATGTGGGTGGTGGGTCCTGTGCTGGGCTTGTGCCAAGGAATAACCTCTGGGCTGCTGTTCTGACAAGTCCTGTTGAACAAGGAGCCCTTGTCTTGATTTAGGCATAGAATTGGAACCAAGTACCAGCCATCATAGGGAGAGACCTGGCCCATGGCCAAAGTGGGCTTCCCTGGGTTGGGGAGAGGGTGCAGGGTGGGCATTGCACAAAGGTTCTATGCTACCCTTTGTGTTGACTCCTCTTTCCTGTGAACAACACCTGTGCTTTCCACATAGGCCCAAAGGACTTCACTCTGGTCTACTTCAGGTGGAACAAATCAGCTTTATATTATAGGACTCTGCATAAGGTTTCTTCTGGGGAGAGGGGAGTAACAATTCTAAAAATAGTTAAGCATGAAAACTCCTAGGAAGACTTATTCCAGCCCTGATGGCCCAGATGAACTCACCAGGGATGCTGCTCTTTCTCAGGGAGGACCCCAAAGATGACTTCTTTGATGTGGGAATAAGAAAAAGGGTTTGTTAGTCAATCGTCTATGAAGCATCCGGGCCTCCAAAATTCCAACCCCACTGTAGTCTCCAGGCATAGCTGATCCTCCTGGGAGCTAAGAGCTAAAGTCAGTGTACTGGCCCTACTGCCTCCAAACTTAGGGATCATCATGCCTTGCTTGGATAAAGCCAGGGTGAGATTGGGATGTCCTAATGGGTTAGTACCTGTGTCCATCTTTCTAGGACCACTCAGCCAAGGGCTTGAGAGGGTGGAGCATTCTTTTGGTCTGTGGGGCTTATGGGCTTCCAGTTTATGGTCCAGCACTGCCCAGAGCCCAGGGGACCCGCTCTCCATCGGGACCATCGTCCCATTCTCCTATGGCCGCAGTCTTCTTGACTCCCGAAGTGCAGAGAAGGCTGCACTGAGAAAACAGGGCTGAGGAGCCCATGCCCGGCGCGCCTCGAGCCAGCTCTGGCTTGGGACCGTAACGCCCTGTCTTGCTCCAGAAAAGGGCCCGCCCGGCGGCATAGCTGCTCTCCGTCCCGAGCCAGCGCTGCGCTCTTACAGTACCGGCAGAGTTTTTCGGGAGCCGCCTAAAAGTTACCGCTAGCCGGTTCCGGCCCGCACTCCGCCCCATGATTCTCTACGGCCGCCGGGGTGTTAGGCCCCGCCCCTTGAGGGTTTGTCCAATCCAGGCCCAACCTTCATGCTCCGCCTCCATGTTCCTTGCGGCCACTTCCGGTACGCTCCCGGAAGTCGCGCAGTGGAGCCAAATTTGAAGTGAGCAGAAACGCGGGGGCGCGGCCACGAAGCCTGACCGGTTGCGGTTTTCTTGGCTACCTGGGCCCCTTGAGAACGGTCATCATGCCTATCCGTGCGCTGTGCACCATCTGCTCCGACTTCTTCGACCATTCCCGCGACGTAGCCGCCATCCATTGCGGCCACACCTTCCACCTGCAGTGGTGAGTGACTCCTGTCTCGGGGCTGGGCGCTCGCCCGGGTACAGGGTTGTGGGGTGTCGGGCCTTAGGGCAACGCGTCCCCGGAGCCCAGACGGGTTATGAGAACGACACTAGACGGAGCCCTACGGGAGGTTCCCGACCTGGGTCAGTCAGGTAAGGGCACGCTTCCTGGAGGAGGTGACAGCTGAGTTGAGTCCCTGGGGACAGTATTGGTTCAGTGAAGATAAGAGTAGGGGCTTCCTTGATCGGCTTGCAAAGCGATGTGACTTCAAAACTATTTTCCGGGCAGAGGTGAGCTTTCACCACATTAATGAGCCCTTTTATTTCTTCGAGATAGAAACCTTGTAGACCTCTGGCTACCCGATTTGTTGTGGTTTGCTTGGTGGTTTGGAATGATTCTATCCTGAGTCGTCTCTGGTCAGATACCCCAATGTATTCACTGACGCCAGCAAACCCAAGTTAACATCCAAGGGCAAGAAGATGCTCCCTGATCAAGCCGTCCTGTTGACCCTATAGGACCATTCTGTTGAATGTACAGCTAGTGGGGAAAGATTTCCCTAGCAGCTGTGGACAGGCTGATTCTGAGCTCCTTTTTTAATTGTGGTAAAATATACATAACAAAATTTACCATTTTTTTCTATATACTTTTTTTATTGTAGTAAAAATATATATAACATATATATAACATAGAATTTACCATTTTAACCCTTTTTTTCCTATTACACAAGTTTGTTTAATAAAAAAGCTCAATATGGATATATACGTGACCCCATTTTTATATCATAGTAAAACAGGCCCTTTGGACAGGAGACGTGAAAGCAATTGATTTCTCTGGTGAACACTGCCATTGTTTACACTTGTTCTAAGGCTTTTAACATGATGATATTATTTCCTTGTATTACCACCATTCCAGTATTGTTCTGTTGCCAACTAGTTGCCATCTTCACACATTCATCTATCACAAGATTTTTTGAGAAACTGCCTTACTGCTTTCTACATCGACTGTACCATTTTACATTCCCAGCAAAAATGCACAAGGGTTCCAATTTCTCCACAACCTTGCCAACACTTATTTCCTGTTTTATTTTGTTTTTTTATAATAACTGTTCTCACGTACGTCTTCTTTTGTAATGTGTGTGTTTAAAGCTATTGGGCCAGCCCCATGGCTTGGCGGTTGGGTGCGCGAGCTCCGCTACTGGTGGCCCGGGTTCGGATCCCGGGCGCGCACCAATGCACTGCTACTCTGGTCATGCTGAGGTCGCGTCCCACATACAGCAACTAGAAGGATGTGCAGCTGTGACATACAACTATCCACTGGGGCTTTGGGGGGAAAAAATAAATAAATTATAAAAATAAAAAAATAAAGCTATCAATTTCCCTCTTAGCACTGCTTTTGCTGTGTTCTGTAAGTTTTGGTGTGTTGTTTTCACTTTCATTCATCTTAAGGTATTTTCTAATTTTCTCATTTTCCTTGTGATTTCTTCTTTGACCCATTGGTTGTTTAAGAGTGTGTTGTTTAATTTCCACATATTTGTGAATTTTCCATTTTCCTTGTTATTGATTTTTAGTTTCATTCCACTGTGATCAGAAAAGATATTTTGTATGATTTCAATCTTTTAAAATTTATTAAGACTTGTTTTGTGGCCCAACATATGGCCTATCCTAGGGAATGTTCCATGTGCACTTGAGAAAAATGTGTATTCTGCTATTGTTGGGTGGTGTATATGTCTGTTAGGTCTAGTTGGTTTATAGTGTTGTTCAAATCCTCTGTTTCCTTATTGATCATCTATCTGATTGTTCTATCTGACATTGTGGGGTATTGACAGCTCTAACTTTTATTGTAGAACTCTCTATTTCTCCCTTCAATTCTGTACAGTTTTCTTTCATATATTTTTGGGCCCTGTTGTTAGGTGCATAAATGCTTATAATTGTCATTTCTTATTGGATTGAACCTTATAGCAATATATATTCTTTGTCTCTTATAACTTTTTTTGACTTAAAGTCTATTTTGTCTGGCAATAATATAGCCACCTCAGCTCTTTTTCTGTTACTGTTTTTACTTATCCTGCTTGGGATTTATTAGGTTTATTTAACTTGTGGGATGATTTCTTTAATCAGTTCTGGAAAATTATCAGCCATTATCTCTTCATGTATTGCCTCTATTCCCTTATCTCTTTTCTTTCTATGTTAGTTTCTCATTTCTGCTATAACAAATTACCACTAACTTAGTGGCTTAAAACAGAAAATTTATTATTTTACAGTTCTGGAGGTCAGAAGTCCAAAATGGGTCTTACAGGGTTAAAATCAAAGTGTAAGTGGGACTATGCTTTCGTTGGATCATAGCCCCTTTCTCCATCTTCAAAGCCAGCAGTGTTAACATTTTCAAATCTCTTTATGACTCCGACACTCCTCAATCATTTATAAGGACACTTGTGGTTACATAGGGCACACCTGGATAATTTCCCCATCTCAAGATCCTTAACTGAATCACATCTGCAAAATTACTCTGGTCATATAAGGTAACATAGTCACAGATTTTAGAAATTAGGACATAGACTTCTTGGGGGAAGGGTATTCTACCTAACACTTTCTTTCTGGAATTCCTAATTACATGTATGCTAGACCTTCTCACAGTATCTTCTATATCTCTTAGCATCTCTTGTATATTTTTAGATCTTTTTAATTCTCAATGTTTTCTCTGACCTCTTTCAGTTTACTAATTCTTCAACTGTGTCTAAACTGCTGTTAAATTCATGCATTGAAATCTTAATTTTGGCCATTTTTTCAGTTTTAGAATCTCTGTTTGGTTCTTATTAAATTCTGCTAGGTCATCTTTTATTTTCTAATTCTCTACTGATATTTTTAATCTTGATTTTTATTTCTTTAGCATAATGTGTTATGGTCTGTATCTGACAATTCCAATATCTAAAGTCTTTCTGGATATATTCTGGTTTTTAAACATGTGATTATTTAAAAAAGAACCAAAATATTTTATTGAAATGTGATATATTACATAAAAGTACACATATAATAAGTGTGTGGCTTACAGAATTTCCCAGTGAACACACCCATGCAACCAGAATTCAGATCAAGAAATAAGACAGCAGCACTCCAGAAACCTCCTTGTGCACTCTTCCAATTACTCCCACTAGCCTGCCTCTCCCCCACACATAAGAATAACCGCTATCTTGACTTCCAGCAGCATAGTAAGTTTTGCCTACTTTTTTACTTCATGTAAATGGAGTGATACACATTTCTGTATCTGGCTTCTCTTCCTCAATGTTATGTTTACGTGATTCAGCTATAATATTGTTCTTAGCTGTAGACTCACTTATTCTCATTGCTGTGTAGTATTCCATTGTGTATGGTTAGCTTTGATTATATGTTCTATATAGTATTTGAAAAATTCTTTATAGAAAAAAATTTGAGGCCTAGGATAATGGTATTATCTTCCAGAAGGGACTCTGTTTCTCCCTGGTCCCTGGGGGTGGGAGAGTCTACTAGTAGGAGACTACTTGAATTCAAGTTTAAAGCTTGAGATGTTGGCAAGTCACCCAGATAGATGATGCAAAGCTGATTTTGCTTTCACTGCTACTTGCTTTTACTTCTAGTTTACCGTTACTTTGAAAGTGTAGGTCTTTGGAGTCCTAGCTTAAAGTGGGGATGTTATTAGACTCCCCATCTCTAAGGGACCCTGGGCTTTCCCTGTTGCCCCCCAGTCAAAGCTAGAAGGCTGACAAAAGAGCAGCTCAGGTATAGGGAGAGCCAAGCCAATGGGGCCAAAAAAAGGGCCAGTTGGTCAGAGTGCTTGTGTCAGTCAGGCCTTGTGAGATGTGCTGGCACTCCTGTGGTGCTGCCCTCCTGTGTGAGCAGGCATTGGGTTGAGGAGGAGCAGGACAAACCCTGTTGTGGTCAGGGTGGCTACCTGGCCTGTATGTCTCCACCCAAGCCAGGGCTCATTGATCTGTTTTTCTGCTTCTCATTCCAGCCTAATTCAGTGGTTCGAGACAGCACCAAGTCGGACCTGCCCACAGTGCCGAATCCAGGTGAGGGTGGTGGGGTAAAAACACCTCAGCTGAAGACATCTTCTTCTTGCCAGGGAGCAGGAATGAGGCAAGATCTCTGAAACTGAGCAATATCTTTAACCTTTTTGGACCCTTACGGGTAAGGCTGGTTGAGCCTCACTTGTGCTTTTGAATGGCTTGGGAGGCCTGCTTATGCCTGAGGGTGGCAGGCAGATGGACTCACTGTGTGGGTCAATTTTCCCCTGGGTAGATTTGGCCTCCTTCTCTGCCTTTCCCTATTTCCTCAATGCCCAGCACCTAGAGTTGGGGTGTCTTTTGAGCAGTCACCACATGAGTCTGCAGTGACATGACTTCGGTAACTACCAAACCAGTGGCACCAGCCTGGGGTACCTACAGGGTTGCAGAGGTTGTCTGACTCCAAAGGATGTGCTGTGAAAGGTTAGGCCTGAGAATGGGCCTGGCTGCATGTTAGGCTGCATATATACCCCTAACCCCTTGCCCGTGACCCAGCTATGCAGTCATGCTCTATCTTGTTCTCCCATCCAGGTTGGCAGAAGAACCATTATCAATAAGCTCTTCTTTGACCTTGCCCAGGAGGAAGAGAGTGTCTTAGATGCGGAATTCTTAAAGGTACCCAGAATTTATCTCATTCTACTGAACCCCAAGCCCTCTGAGTGTTCACTTTCTGCTCCCATTCAGGGAGGATACCTAGAATATAGAAATGGAGTTCTGGAGGGGAGACTTGATAGAGATTTCAAGGTAGAGGCAAGGATTGCAGAGGACAATTGATGATGAGACACAGTCATTGGAGAAACATGCTGTTAGGGAAGAAGGGAGACACTTGACTATGAAACTTCCCCTTGGGATTTCAGGGCAGTTCCAACCGAAGGTCAGGGTGCGTCTCCCAAGGTCCCCTCACGTTGCAGAGGATCTACAACCATCCTTCCCAGCCACTTTTCTGCTTGGACAGTTAGAGACAGATTAGAAAACTTTTCCAGTTCTCAGCCAGAGAAGATGTGTGGACCCAATTTTCACAAACCTGGCTGTGCCTCAAAACTGCCCAGGGAGCTTGGTATATATCCAGATGCCTGAGTCTTTCTCAGGAATAGAGTGCAAAGCCCTTGGAATCAAGATGTGCAGCCAGGGTAGAAACCCACACTGCAGGGGAGGATGGGTAGATTCGCTCCTACACTTCTACTGCTTCCCCTCCTAGTCCAAGATTTAGTTTTCTTCATGCACAAGGGGGCTCGAATGGCAGAAACCTCTCAAGGAAGTGGCATTGGGGTTCGCAAGTGAACCCGGACTCTGAGGGTTAATTTTCTGGGCATCTGTCACATCAGGGTTCATTTGGCCCTGGCCCCAGGGTGCCATGATGTGCTTGGAACCTCACTGCTTCAAGAACATGGAGCTTTTCTGCTTAAAGCCAACGTGTTCATCGTCATGGTAACTGCTCCCAGCTTTAAGCCGTGTCCTCCCTGTGATAAAGGCAACAAAGGCAGCTTCATTTTTTTCTGGCTTTCAAAGCCAGATCTAGGAGACAGGGAGGCAACATCTCGAGTAGTTTGGAGCAAGGGCTTGGAAGGCATCTTGCTTGGGTGTGGAAGGAGCCCGGGGACTCGGGGTAGCTTTGGGATGGTGCCTGTTCTCAGGCAGTCCATGCCTGCCCTACTCTACCCACCACTTCCACTCCCAGATGTTCAGCCTACACTGACCAGCCCAGCCACCAAAAGCTCCTGCCTCCAGAGTCCTGGGTGGAGAGTTTGGCAGCAGGGGGCTTATCTACCCACTGAGGCCAGGCCTTAGTATTGGTCACATGTGAGATTCTGAGTCTTGTGTTGACCTTGGAAGGGTGACCTGGAGGAAGATTTGCTTGGGTTCCATTTAGCTACCACCGTGGACCCTTGGTCAAGCCTTTTGGTTCTACGGAGCCTGGTTTTCCTGCTTATAGAGTAGGCACCTCTCTTGCCCATAGGAATGTTGAGTGCTCTGGACTCCTGAATGGGAGCTGGGCTCAGTTCTTCCCCAGCCTCTCAGTGGTTCTGCAGCAATAGCTTTGGAATGTATGCGTGGGCTTTGAAAGGCTCATTTGACCCTCACAAGTCTGGTTAGAGCCTAGCACACATGAGGTTTCATCCAGGGGTGTAAAGTTGTCCTGGATCACCTACCCTATTGGGGCTGGAAGATTTGTGGTACACAGAGCCAGCTTAGAGCTTGGAGAGAGGTAGACTGAAACAGGCAGGACCCAGGATGGAGGAAAGGAGTGGTGACCCAAGGTCCTTGGGCATCCCAACTCTGTGTCTGAGTGCAGCTGATACCCAGAGAGGTTAAGGGCCAGTGCAGGGCCAAGGAAGCAATGGAAGCCTCTGCTGTGAGACTCATCACACAGGTGCAAACTCACTTCTCTTGCCCATGTTCTGCCTCTTTCCCTGTCCTTGGGTCTTGTACCTGAGATTATTTTCCTCCCTCTTACCTACTTTTTAAAAAGGCACACAGAGATAAAGCAAGGTTTATTTCTCCGTTATTGACTTAGCTTGGCCTTGAGGTATAGCAGAGTCCATGTCTCCCTGGACCTACAGTCCTCATTGTCCACTCCTGAGTCTCCCCACAGGCCTTATGGGAGGCCGAGTAGAGGCCAGCTATGATGCTTTCCTCCTACTTATTGTGGATATTGCCTTGCAGAATGAACTGGATAATACCAGAGCCCAGCTTTCCCAGAAAGGTGAGTTGGCAAGAGACAAGGGGCCCTGGAAAGCCTCTGTCTTGAGTGCTGGAGGGAGAGGCCCTGGGAGGAAGGCCTTCAACCTTCTGGCAGAGCCAGGAGCTCTCCCTGTTCTGTGTGTTCAAGAGTCTTGCCAGCTCTTGTGATTGGCAGAAAAGGAGAGGAAAGGGAGGTGACTGAAGCTGTCCACCTAGACCAGATGAGCCTCTTGTCTTTGTCTGAGGCTTCTTGCCCAGGACCCAGGTTGGGAGGGGGCTACCTGATGGAACAGAGTATTTGTAGGAGAGGGCTTGGCTGCCAAGTTTGGCAGGAACCTAATTGAGTTCTGGGATGATGAATTAACTAGACCCACAGGAGTGGGGAGCAGTGAAATCTTTACTCAAGCAGTTCCAAGCAGCAGAAATAGGGTCTCGTTCCCTGCGTGAAAAGACTCTGGCTCGGCTTCTCTGGTTTGGTGCATGCTGGAGAGAGAAGCAGGCCACCCAACTTTCTGGCCTGAGACTTGTTTGTGTGAAAAGACTCTGGCTCGGCTTCTCTGGTTTGGTGCATGCTGGAGAGATAAGCAGGCCACCCAACTTTCTGGCCTGAGACTTGTTCCTCACCTGGCTCTGGGGTGAGGTGCTGGTGCCCAAGGGCCCAGGTTCTCATGCTGATGGGTAAACAGGCCTCTCCCCCATCCACCCTCTACCCCTGTTCCAGAAAAGGAAAAACGAGACAGCCAGGTCATCATCGACACTCTGCGGGACACACTGGAAGAGCGCAATGCCACTGTGGAATCTCTGCAGAGCGCCTTAGACAAGGCCGAGATGCTGTGTTCCACCCTCAAGGTGGGTCCCCAGGTCCTGTGGGCACAAGCTGGTGGGGAGATAGAGCCCCAGTCCTAGGCTCACCACTCTTGGCTTATCTTCTGGTTCTGCCTTGGTCGACACCTTGGTTTGAACACTCGTAAAATGGAGGCAAATCCTTTCTTCCCGAGGCCTCCTATATCCATCCAGCCCATAAGAAAAGGGCCATATTGGCTGCATTTATGGATTTTGTACTAGATAATTTGGAGAGGCAAGGCCTTCCCAGTGCTTCACGGAAGGGCTGCTTAGCCAAGACCTTGGTGAGGCTGGGCCATGTTTCCAAAAGTGGTTTGTACTCGACTGGCAAAACCAGCCTGAAGAATATTCCATTAACACTCTAGTCCTTGGCTGGGCTACTCTCTGGAGCCAGATCAAACAGCATCCCAGGCAGGAGCAGGGGGCCTTTGAAGTTGGCTGTGCTGAGCTGACCAGGCAGATCAAAGCCTGCAGAGCAAGCGGCTCAAGACCCAGATGAATTTTGTATCAGCCTGGGTTGGTGAGCCTCTTGCTCTCTAAGGGACATTAGGCGATTGATCTGAACCCACAATTGATATTCTGGCCTCGTAGGAAGGAGCAGTCCTTGCTGGATGCCATTTGAAAGGGAAAGGGAGTCATCCTTGTGAAGAGACAGGGTCCTGGGGTGTTCATTGTCTCTGCTTCTGCTTGGTGGCTGGGTTGGATCATGTGGCCTGGCCAGTGGGAGGGACGGAGCGAACTAGCATCTGGCTGCAGAGCAAGAGTCTCTGACGGCATTCCCAGGTCAGAGATGGAGTGGTCTTGTGCCAAGGGCATCCTGGCCAGCTGCCTCTGGCTCAGCTCTCCTATCTTGGCAACTGTCTATGGGTCTAGATGGTGGATAATGAGGCCTGGATTTGTGCTCCAGGCTTCTTCAGCTTCCTGCACAACATGCACCAAAAGGCCCAGGCCACAGGACCTTGGCAGCCCACAATGGCCCTATAGATGCTGGCAGGGGGCTGTATCTATGGTAAGACATGTCTCAGGAGGAAGCAAGCAGGGAGGTAAGGAAGCCATGTTTCCAAAAGGCCTAGGGCCTCTTAACAGAAAAAGCACAAGCCAGAGTGGGGCCCAGGAGCCTTACCTCCTGGGGGTTGGAGGCACATGGTTATCAGTATTTGCAAAAGCAGACAGTTCTAGGATAGAGTTCTCCTAGTGACTTTGGCCATGGCCCCTGAGAGCCTCCAAGCAACAGGTATGTATGAGTGTGTTTGCTCTTCAGAAGCAGATGAAGTACTTGGAGCAGCAGCAGGATGAGACCAAACAAGCACGGGAGGAGGCCCGCCGACTCAGGAGCAAGATGAAGACCATGGAGCAGTGAGCTTGGAGCTGGGGCCTGCTCTGCGCCCTTGCACCCAGGGCCCCTAGGTGGCACAGCTCCCAGGACTGCAGCAGGGGTTGGGTCACTTCTGTCGCTCAAATCTCCATAGGCCATGGGGGGCACAGGTCTCCTTGCTCAGACTCTATGGGCTCTGCTACTTTCCATGGGGGCCCTTGCCTCACTCCTTTCTGTCCCTGTGGCCAAACAACCTGGCAGATCTTTTGTTCCGAGAACCTCTCTCTGGGGATCCCTGACCTTGAGACCCTTTGTCAGCATCCTTTTTCCCCCAGCAGCATCCCTGCAGCTGTGCTTAGCTCTGCTGTGGGGCCTTTATTTGGGCAGACCCACCTGCTAAAGCATCCTAGCAGCCCAGGCTGTCACCATAGCAACAGCAGCGAAGGGAGGCAGAGCCGTACTGGGTACCTACCCATGAGCCTCCAGATTTTAAATGCCATGGGATGGGTGTTTTTCAGGATTGAGCTCCTACTTCAGAGCCAGCGGCCCGAGGTGGAGGAGATGATCCGAGACATGGGTGTGGGACAGTCAGCGGTGGAGCAGCTGGCTGTGTACTGCGTGTCTCTTAAGAAGTGTGTACTCTGGCACCCTTGTCCAAGCCCAGGAGCTGAGCCATGGCACCTCAGCCATGCCTCTGCATCTACTGCCCATCTCTTGTAAAACAGAGCAGGTGGAGTTAAGGGACAAGCTCTGGAGCCATGCTGCCTCAGTTTGAACCCAGACCCCACCTCTCACTGGGTGGCCAGGAGCCCGTTTCTTAGCCTCTCTGACCCTCAGCTTCCTGAATAGAGATAGTAATAACTTGCCTTATAGGGTCATTGAGAGAACTAAGTATGAATTATAAGTGTTATTTCTAAGGAGGTTGGCACAGCTCTTGAGCTATAAGCTTGTCATATCTGGAGCCTGTTTCCCATCAGCACTGTTACTGACCCTGCCTGACTTGCATCAGAAACTTTGCTCACATTCTCCACTACCATGGTTGTGAGACTGGGGAAAAGGGTCCATTTGGCTGACAGGCATGGAGGATCCTGGATGACTCCTGTGGGGGCCGGGTGGTGTAGGGGGCCTCCTAGTGAGGCCTTGGTGAGGCCAGGGCTTCCTGTACACCCTCTAAAATCACCAGTGCCTGCAGGACAGGCAGGGAACAGAGAATCACCAGCTCTCCTTTCATGGGCTGCAGGACCCTCCACAGCGCCACCTGGTCCCAGTTGAGCTCAGGTGTCAGAGTAGGAATGAGAACAGGCTGAGGGGTTGGGCTGGGCTTTGTGTTTGGTTGGTGCTATGGCTCAGTATAGCCAGCAGGGTGTCCCATTCTGACATTTCTTTCCATGACCGCTTTGCAGAGAGTACGAGAATCTAAAAGAGGCTCGGAAAGCCTCAGGGGAGCTAGCTGACAAGCTGAAGAAGGACTTGTTTTCTTCCAGAAGCAAGGTAACTTAGCGGGGAGCAGAAGGTCAGGGGAGAGGTGGCTGTCCTTTTATGATGCTCATTCATCTCTCCTGAGCAAGGCTGTGGGGCCTGATGGTGCAGCTGACTCCATGGGGCTGTTGAATGACTCACAGAGACTGGTTACTGGTCCTTACTGGGCTTTGGTTCTGGCTTTGTATCTTGTCCACTTAGAGTGGCAGATCATGCAAGTATCCCCCCAACATGTGCACACTATGTTCCCCTTTGCTCTTCCTGGCTTCTGGGTACCTCTCAGCTTGCTGGAGAGCACAGGTCCCAAATGTGACAGCTTCAGAGGCCTGTTTCTATACCAGGCCCAGAGTAGAGGGCTCTTGGAACCTGATTCAGTCAGCACAGCTGCTTTTATTTCTGGACATGGTGCACCCATGGTCTGCAGAGTGTAGGAAGCAGCTCTTGCTCCTGGGCAGCTCCACATGAACATTGTCCCATAGAGCTATTGTCTCCCTCCATGTCCCTGGACTCTTCTGGACCCTGGGCTACCATGAACATGCCCTGGGTAGTTGCAGGTGGGTGCAGGGCACATGGCCACCCCTTGGCTCGTCCGTTACTGCCTGCACTTTCTTGTAGTTGCAGACAGTCTACTCTGAACTAGACCAGGCCAAGTTGGAGCTGAGGTCGGCCCAGAAGGACTTACAGAGTGCTGACAAGGAAATCGCGGTGAGGGACATCCCTGGCCAGACTGGAATGAGGAGTGGTTTGTGTGCCCTCCAAGAGCAGGGCTGGACTACCTCTGCCCAGGAACCTGTGCACCAGTCCATGGTGGTAGTTCTGGGCTCCCTGCATCCTCCTGGGTCAGAGTGGGTCAGGTGGTTCACCTTGGCCCTGGTCTGGAGCCTGGGCCTCCTCAGAAGAGGGCAGACAGCACCATAGGTCTTTCCTCACAGTCTGTCCTGATGTACATCCATGCAGTCACCAGAGGAGAAGCTCCACCAGAGAGGGGTTCTGAAGTCAGGTGGTCCTGGCCTCCTGAGCCTGATGTTGGGGTTTCGGGCCTTGCTCTGTTCCCAGTGGGCTTGCCCTTCATGCATATTGCTCATGTCTTTGGCAGTCTCTCTGGACTTGATGCCTCAGCCTTTCTTTTACTCTCTTCTCTTTCCTTCCCCAAGAGTCTGAAAAAAAAGCTAACAATGCTGCAGGAAACCCTGAACTTGCCACCAGTGGACAACGAGACTGTCAACCGCCTGGTTTTAGAGAGGTTTGTTGACCCTCTGGGGTGGTGCAGGGGCCCCAAGCTGGAAGAGCTCTCTGGTAAGGGTCTTTACTCCTCCTGGCTTTGGTGGGGTGGGTGGCCCATGTGGGTCTGAAGGCTGTGGACCTTCCACACTGGGAGATAGCCAAGATTTAGTTGGAAAGCAGCTTTGAGACAAGTTCTGGGCTCTGACAAGGAGAGGCCAAGATAGGCCAGAGAGGACCTAGGGGTGGTCAGAGAAGGGGCAGGAGCATTAACTGTCTCAGCGCATCCTGTTTGTGGAATGCCTCACCAAATGCACCTGTCTGCCCTAGATCCTAAAACAACAGTGAAACCACTCACCAAAATAATTCCCCTCTGGTCACAGGAATGTGTGCATTAAAGCTGCCAGCAGAGGGAGCCAAAAGGCAGAGGGAAGGGTGTCCCTGCCTGGAGTGGCCACCCATTTGTCCTACTGAGTGTTTCACAGAAGCCGGCTGGCTGAGAGTATCCTCAGGGCTGTCTCCTGCCTAGCTGCCCAGCTGATGGACCAGACAAAACACACAACTCAGTGACCCAGCCTTTTATTTGAGCCACTTTTCAATGTCCTTTGGAAAATCATTACACTCTCTCTTCCCCACATCCAAACAGCTGCTGAAGCCTGCCCCATCTAACCTCTGTGGTACCTCCTGACCCTTTCCCTTGCCATCACTTCCATGTAAGGCTTGTGACCCATCCCACTGCTACTCGGCATCATGACACTCCTCCCCTACCAAACAGCTCCCTGACCCCTTTGGCACTGTGCCTAAGGCACTCATGGGGCCAGCCTTGTGGGCTGTAGTGGATCTTTAGGCTTCAGCCATATCATACTGTCAAACACAATGGAACACTCCTTGTCTTCCGGCTTCTGTGGCTTTCTGTGTTTCAGCTCTTCTCCATGCTGAAGGGTCAGCTGCCCTGTAGAGCCTTTTCTAGACTCCTCAGCAGGAAAAAGCTCACTCTCCCCTGCACAGGTAGCACTTCTTCTTCAGATGCTGTCAGGTGCTGTGGGCCACAGAGGTGCTCTAGAGTCTTCTTGGAGCCTGGTCCACCCAATCTGTACACAGTCAGCTGTGAGTAGACCCGGAGCCACATCTTAATCTGTGTCCCTCACCACGAACTTCCTTACGCTCACACTTCTTTCCCCGCACCATAGTACCTGGTTAGCATCTGCACAAGGGAATGAAGGCATACAAGCCAGTTTCCTCTCATTCTTGTTTGTACCTTTAATTCCTCAATCTTACTCTTTCCTTTCTTACCTTGGCATCCTCCAGTGTCTCTTCATGGAACCAGAGCTGCCTGCCTGCCCTAGTTTGGGTTGGACTGAGAAAGAGCTGTGGGCCTGTGATGGGCACATGATTCTCTATGAGGTCCAGGGTGTGGTTGATTTTGGCAAACTAGGCCCATTTGTTTGTGGTCCTTCCTCTACACTCCACCCTCAGAGCCCATTGGCCATGCCACCTTGGAAGCCCTAGGTAACACAAGGGTTCTGTCAGGAGCTTTGCTGGTATAGTACCCACCCTCAGGGAGCTGATAGTCTCAGAGACCATCTCATATGGACAAACCTTTAGAACCCAAGCTGCCTCAAGGCAGGAAATAAAACTCCTTTTCCTGGGATATCACTCAAGGCTGCTGTCTGTAAGCTCCGTGGCACTCCCTCTACTTTCCATTCCATGGCCCTCAGGGTGTTTCCACACAGTCGTTCTCTGTGTCTGGCATCCACAGTGAGGGGAAGCACAAGCACAAAGGCTGCCTTGAGGCACCCAGAGACTTTGCATACTTGTGTTTGCTTGTTTTCTTTACCACTTCAGGCTGCTGTGAGGCCTGGACTCCAACAGCAGGACCTTACTGAGTGCCTGCTACTTGCCGGGCCTTACCTGTCCTCTTGGAGCTAGACAAGCTAGAGGGTTAGATGGCCAAGCCGTGAGCTCCCAGTTGGAGATTTGGTTTGCAGCTCCCAGTTGGGGATGAGCCCACTTCATGCTGAATAAGCCTGGTGCCAGGGCCTGCAGCCCTCTTCGCTACATGGAGAACTGCTCTGGTCTCCCCCATCTTTCAAGCCAGCAGAATACCACATCTGACAAGCCTACATCTTTACAAAGCTGGGCTGGACTTCCCATCAAGCTGCATGCAGGAAGAATTCATTCCATTTTTTCTCCAGTATTTTTCCAGGCATAAAAATTAGGGTGGCGAGGGGCCGGCCCTGTGGCGCAGGGGTTAAGTTCGCACATTGTGCTTCAGCGGCTGGGCTTCGCTGGTTCAGATCCTGGACACAGACCTATTCTCGGCTCATCAAGCCATGCTGAAGCGCCGTCCCACATAGAGGAACTAGAACGACCTACAACTAGGGTATACAACTGGGGCTTTGGGAGAAAAAAGAAAAAAAGAGGAAGATTGGCAACAGATGTTAGCTCAGGGCCAATCTTCCTCAAAAAAAAAAAATTAGGGCGGTGGGTCTGTCACTTTTAGTATTAGCCTTTCTTTTAACTAGGCACAGTCTGTTCTAAATTCGGGGTCTTCTCCTAGGGCCCCAAGCTCTCAAAAATTGTTGTTGAATTCTCAGTAGCAGCTTTGCCCCATCTTCTTTGTGCTCTAAGGACAAGACTACAGGTCTGCTCAAAGATCCTGCCATCTACCTTTCCCCCATGACAGCTGACAGGTTGTTATGTGGGTTTTGAAGAAGACTTAAGCTTTCTTGATGTATTGCAATGTACAGGCACGTTCCTTCAACCAATATTCAGGTCCGAAGGAAAAACAGTCCGGGCAGAGAGAATGGCGAATGCAAAGACCCTGAGGTGTGACTGAGCTGGGTGTTCTTGGGAGAGATGGGCCAGTGGCAGGTGAGCCAAATCTGCATGGCTTCGTGGGCAGCCTTGGAGTGTAGATTTTATCCCAAGGACAATGAAAGCTGTTGGGGATACTTGAGGAAGATCGCTCTGGTGGGACTGGTGCATGCCTCTGATTTTCATCCCATCACCCATTGATGGTTCCTTGAACCTGCCCTCCAGCCCAGGGGATACCAGGTCACCAGCTTGATGAGTACCCTCCTAGACCTCTGCTTCATTACAGATGAAAATCCCATGAGACATACATAGCCGTGGGGGGGGGGTCATTTGAAGGTTTGATTTTAGGTGTTTCTTGATACTTTTGTGTCATTCTGTAAATTAAGTCTTTTAAAATGTGACTCTCTGGAATGCCTTTGAGATATATTCACACTAGTCCACAGAGATCCATGTTATTCCTCCCACACCCAGTGTGCGTGGGGCACACAAGCCTTGTTCACTCAGGCATCCCCCTCTCAGTGGATATTCGGGTCAGGTCCAGTTTTCCAAGCTGACAGAAAGCACTGTAGGGACCACCCAGGGTTGCAGTGGAGAGGTGAGCCAGCAAGGCAGTTATCCTGAGATGTTCCCAACTCTCTCCTGGTTGGAGCCACTGATTTTTGATTCTGATATTTTATTCTTTCTTGATTTACTTCCTTGCTTTGCTAAAGTTCATCTTGAAGTAATTGCTAAGGAAGGGAGCTGGGGTACATGTCAGAATACATTTATGCTGCTCTTAGCTTAGATTGCCAGTTTGAATTCTAGATGAAAGTTAGTTTCCCTCAGAACTCTGAAGACCCTGCTTCCCAGTTGTCTAAAATCCAGTATTGCCACTGAGAAGTTAATGCCCATCTGATTCTTGGCCCTTTTGTAAGTGAACGTATTTTTCCTCTTGGGACAGTTTTAGGCTGCTTCCTCTATTCTTGGGCTTCTGCGACTTCCCGGATGAGTCTGGGTGAGAGTCTTTTCTATTCATCCTGCTGGGCTCTTGATGGGTCCTTTCAGTGTGAGCATTGGAGTCTCCCTTCAGCTCTGGGAAATTTCTTGTGTTATTCTTTTGAGAATCTGCTGCACTCTAATTTCTTTGGCCTCTCTTTCTGGAACACCTGCAGGTCTAATGTCTGGGTTGGTCCTTTGTACTCTACATTCTGGGAGATTTTCTTAAATTTTAATTAGAATTTCTTAATTTTTATAATTTTTTTACTTCATCAATCGTATCTTTTATTGTGGTAAAATATATATAACATAAAATTCACCATTTTAACCATTTTTAAGTGTATAGTTCTGTGGCATTAAGTACATTTATATTGATGTGCAGGGCCTGCCCCGGGGCTTAGCGGTTAAGTGCACGCGCTCCGCTGCTGGCGGCCCAGGTTCGGATCCCGGGTGCGCACCGACGCACCGCTTCTCCGGCCATGCTGAGGCCACGTCCCACATACAGCAACTAGAAGGATGTGCAGCTATGACATACAACTATCTACTGGGGCTTTGGGGGAAAAAAAAATAAATATATTGATGTGCAGCCGTTACCACCATTCATCTAGAGAACTTTTCCATTTCCCCAACTGAAACTCTACCCGTTAAACACTAACTCCCCATTCCCCTTTCCTCCTACCCCTGGCAACCACCATTCTACTTTCTGTCTCTATCAATTTGACTACTCTAGGAACCTCATATAAGTGGAATCATATAATATTTGTCCTTTTGTGACTGGCTTATTTCACTTAGCATACTGTCTTCAGGGTTCATCCATGGTGTAGCCTGTGTCAGAATTTATTTCCTTTTTAAGGCTGAATCAGATTTTAAATTTGCAACCATTCTTTCTTGCTCTCTGAGTGCATTCTTTGCAAAATATGCTATTCCTTGTTTTAGGGCCTAACATTTTGTTTCTCAGGATCAGTATTTATGCATAGTGACCCTTCTCTTGGACTTCCCTCCCACGCCTGGGGGTCCTTGGCTGCCTGTGACCCTCTGAGGAAGAGTAACAAAAGGCTGCCTGAGAACCCAACCTATGTGGGCAGGGTTTGAGGGGAGTATGCTGTGAGCTGGCATCATGCTAAGCCTTACCTGAACCCAGGATGCAGAGGGCTTTACTGTCTGATACTGGCTGCCCCAAGTCACCATAGACAGTTTGCTTGGTGTTACAGGTGAAAGACCCTTCCAGTTCTTGGCCCAGAGTAGCAGCCTGGCTGCCTGGTGTTCTGCCAGTGCAGACGTAGGAAGGGGTGGAGCCAAGCTCACACCTTCCATCAGCACTCCAGTTTTCAGGCCTGTTTAATGCTTCTGCAAATCCAGATCTTCCCCTGGTCCTCCCTTGCTTTTATAGCCGTCTCTTTGTGGGTGCGGGATGTTGTATAGGTCTCCTGTCCCCTGGCCATGCTCTCTTTCCCAGAATTCTGTGGAAATCTGTGGGTACTCATGGTGGTTGCCCATTCCATTTATTACAGTAGGATCATCCTTCACTCCTTTCATTTTAGGGTGGCCTCAGGAGGTAGCTATCATCCCCAACCACAGAGTGGGTGTTCCGAAGGCCTTTCTTATGGACCCTGAGGGCCCCTGACCTCCAGGCTGAAGGAAGTTGGGGAGGCCTTTGCTTAGGGTAGGCCTGCCAGGTGCCATAAGTTCATAGAGGAGACATTGACTGACTCCAGGTCACACAGGTGATGGATCTGCCCAGGGCCTTGGCTCTGTTTTGGAAAGGGGGGCTTTAAGTGTCTTGCCTCACCTCCTGAGGCCTCTGGCTTGAACCCCTGTACATTGGCCATGGATGAGTGTCCCAAAGGTGATAGTATCACCCAGGAGAGCCTCAAGCCAGGACCTCAACCGGTGAGGGAGGGTTACTGGGCCTCTGACTCTTCCTCTTCATCAGACAGACAGAAGGTGGGAAGGAAAGCAAGACCCTTGTCAGGAAGGGAAACAGAGTTCGAGCTCATGAAGGATATACCGTGAACAGTCTGAGGGAACAAGAAGTGTGTTCATATGAGCCAGATGTGGGTGTAGGGGAGTGAGGGAGGCACTGTGAGAACCTCCTGAGTCTTGAATTTAGTGTTGTGGATGGCCAGGAGGTGCAAGTGAAGAAGACTGGCTCGACTTGAGCCAAGGCTGGTCACATGCCATAGGTACCACCGGGCAAGGTCTGAGGAGATGGCAGCAGGAAGCTGTGCCATGAGGTTTGCCATGAGGGCAAAATGACTGTCCCCAGCCAGACCCTGCCTGCCTCTTGAGTGCACATCTCCTAACCTGGGCCTGGACTTGCTGGGGTTGGTAAATAGTGGCAGAATAACAGATACTACTAAAAGGTTGGCATGAGTGGTCCTGGCTGCTGCTTTATGCTGTGGTTCCTAGAGCGGGAAGCAAAGCAACCAGCATGGAGTTGGTTGGAGGTGGGTTTGTGCAGCCTTTGTTTCCACTTGCAGGCAAGGAAGAGGTAGAGCTTCCAGGGCCCTGGCCAGGGAAAGGAAGAGATAGTCCAAGATTTCCACATTGTTTACCTACCCAAATGAGTATGGGTAGTTCTCTTTCCTCTGCTCTGCACACCCCAGTGGGCTCCTAGCCAGAGACTAATACCCTCACAGTTCATCCCTCTGTCCCTGAGCAGTGGGAATAGAGCTGTCGGCAGTCCTGAAAGGTTCCTGAAACCTTCCCTGAAAGGGAAGGAAAGAGAGAGGGTGTTCTTGGGGCTGCCCCTAATACTCCCCAGATTTCTTCTCTGACCATGGGAGCCGGGGAACCTCACCAGGCCTGGATGAGCTAGAAAAATCCTATTGGCTGCAATTTTCTAATAGAATACTTCCCCCATTATAAAGTAAAAACACATTCATTGTTGAGAATTTGGAAAGTATGGACTTATCGTAGAGGTAGTCACTGTTGACAAGCAGTGTATTTCCTTCCAGTCTTTTTTCTATATGAGCAGGGCGGCTGTTGGCGGGGGAGATATGTATGCACCAAACCATGTGATTGCACTATACATAGAGTTTTTTTCCAAAATTATTGTGGTAAAATATACGTAACATTAAATTTACCAACATTTTTTTTTTTTTTTTTAAAGATTTTATTTATTTATTTTTCCCCCAAAGCCCCAGTACATAGTTGTCTGTCATAGCTGCACATCCTTCTAGTTGCTGTATGTGGGACGCGGCCTCAGCATGGCTGGAGGAGTGGTGCCTCGGTGCGCACCCGGGATCCGAACCCCGGCCGCCGGCAGCGAAGCGCACGCACTTAACCGCTAAGCCACGGGGCCGGCCCATAAGTTTACCAACATTTTTAAGTGTCCAGTTCAGTGGTATTAAATACATTCATAATGTTGTGCTACCATCCCACTCTCCATCTCCAGAGCTCTTTTCATCTTGTAAAACTGAAACTCTGTACCCATTAAACAGTAACTCCCCACTCCCCCCTCCCCCCAGCCCCTGGCAACCACCATTCTACTTTCTGTCTCTGATTTTGACTACTCTGAGTACTTCATAAAAGTAGAATGATATAGTATTTGTCTTTTTGTGACTGGCTTACTTCATTTAGCATAGTGTCCCAAGGTTCATCCATGTTGCAGAATTTCCTTCCTTTTTAAAGCTGAATAATATTCCATTGTATGTATATAGCACATTTTGCTTATCCATGCATCCATTGATGGACACTTGCTTGCTTCCTTTTTTTGGCTATTGTGAATAATGTTGCTATGAACATGGGTATACAAATATCTCTTTGAGATCCTGCTTCCAGTTCTTTTGAGTATATACCTAGATGTGGAATGGCTAGATCATATGGTAATTCTATTTTTAATTTTTTGAGGAACTGCCTTACTATTTTCCACAGTGGTTATACCATTTTACATGCCCACCAACAGTGCACAAGGGTTCCATTTTCTCTGAATCCTTGCCAGCACTTGTTTTCTGTTTTTTTGATAGTAGCCATCCTAATAGGTGTGAGGTGGTATCTCATTGTGGTTTTGATTTGCATTTCCCTAATGTTTAGTGATATTGAGCATCTTTTCATGTGCTTATTGGCCCTTCATATATCTTCTTGGGAGAAATGTCTATTCAAGTCCTTTGCCCATTTTTAAATTGGGTTGCTTGTTTTTTTGTTGTTGAGTTTTAGTTTTCTATGTATTCTGGATATTAATCCTTTATGAGATATATGATTTGCAAATATTTTCTCTCATTCTGTGGATTGTCTTTTTACTCTGTTGACAGTAACTTTTTTTTTTTTTTTTAAGATTTTATTTATTCATTTTTTTCCCCCCAAAGCCCCAGTAGATATTGTATGTCATAGGTTCACATCCTTCTAGTTGCTGTACGTGGGACTCGGCCTCGGGTTGGTCGGAGAAGTGGTGCCTTGGGGCGTGCCCGGGATCCGAACCCGGGCCGCCAGCATCAGAGCGCGCACACTTAACCGCCAAGCCACGGAGCCGGCCCTGTTGACAGTAACTTTTGATGCAGAAAATTTTAAATTTTCGTGAAGTCTAATTTGTCTGGTTTTTCTTTTGTTGTGCCTATTAAACACAGAATTTTGTATTGCTTTTTAAATTTAACATATGAGCATTTCCCCATGTTATTTAGTTTATTCTCCAGAAACACTACTTTAATGTCTATAACATATTCAAGCTATGAAACTCCCCCCAGTCCCTTATGGGAGTCATTTTGACCGTGTCTAATATTATGCCATTTGCCATGGTAAATAGCAAATGGAGGGGACATCCTTCTATATCAATCTATGGTCATATCTCTCACTGGCTCCTTGCACTGCATTCTGAGAAATGAGGCTAAACTTGGTCAAAAGGCAGTAGCCTTTTGTTTGTATGTTTGGGTTTTGTATGGATTTCTGCTTGCTTCCTTCCATGTCTTCCAGACTTTCACTGTCCCAGGACTGTGTGAAGAACTGAGACAAGTGGTTTTTTTCTGAAGAGATTAGGGCTTCCTTGCGTGGTGACCCTGAGCCAGATATGGGCTCCAGGCTCCTGGAGCTGAGCTATTTCTGATGCTTGAGGGGTTGTTGTCCTTCTGGGCTGCCACTGTGGTCCTGAATAACCAGGCCATTTCTGCCTTCAGCCCAGCTCCTGTGGAGATGCTGAACTTGAAGCTTCGCCGGCCAGCTTTCAGTGATGATATTGACCTCAATGCCACTTTTGATGTGGACACGCCCCCAGCCCGACCTTCTGGCATGCACACCAAGAAGCTCTGCCAAGAGAACGCACAGTAAGTGATAGTCCCTGGCCTTGTCCACAGCCTCGGGGGAGGATGGCTAAGAGATCTCTGCAGGCCCTGCCCTAATAGCTCTGAATGGCTGACAGGGCAGTTAGAGCCACCTGGGCTTGGCCATGGCTTTTGTTCCAGCCACCTCTTCTTCCGTCTCCTGAGTACTTACTTTGTGCAAAGCCCTTCTCTTGCTTATCTTGTTAATCTTCACCATCACCTTTCAGTCAAAGGTGTTAGGATGTTAGTTGGAGAGAATGCAGGGGTCCCAGTAGGGGCAGATCTGGGTTGATGATGCTGAGGGTGGGTGTGCTCCCAATATCTTGAATGCCTGCCCACCAGAGTCCTGAGCCAGGGACTCTGAACTTCCTCTTCCATTGTGTGCCTCTCAGGCCAATGCCTGAGGCAGAACCATCTAAAACCATGGAGCCCAGGGCTCCACCACCTAAGAGAGTAGCCCACAGGGGCAGGCATGAGAAGCTGTGTGGAGCTACAATAGGATGGGTAGGATCTGCACTAGGGGTGCAGTGGGACTGAGAATGGGGAGGCTGTCTCCTTGTCCAGGCAAGCCAAGTGTAGTTCATTTTGGAGATAAGAAGTACTCCTGAACATACGTGTAGGTATACACTGCTCAGATAAGGGAGGTCAAGGGCTGAGCAGATGTCTTCTTAATCAAAGACTTTGGACATGAGAGAAAGAAATTGAGATGTTAAGCAGTGGTGGTGGAGGAGGCCCAGGGAGAGTGCAAAAGGGAAAGCCAACTGGGCTATCCACCCCTCCCCAACCTCAGAGGTGGAGACACCTATGCTGTACAGGGCCAGGACTGGTAGCAATGAGAAACAAACCTAGGGCATGTGGGCTACAGTCAGGGGGCCTCTCAGTGCCTGCTCCACACTCTGGCTTCCTCATGTTGTCCCTTTTGCCGTAAAGGTTGAAAGTGGGCACCTGGGGCCTGCAGGCTGCCAGGCCTTTTAGAGATATTTCTACCATCTTCAGGGACTGCAGAGAATGTAAGGGAGCCCAAGATGCCCCCAACTCAGATTAGCCTCCCCAGATCCAGACTTGCGGCAAGTGGAGAATCTTCCCGTGGTCATCATGTGGCCTCACCACAGGCTATGGGGGCAGGCCCTGATCCTGCCCCTGTCCTCTTGGCTTTGAGAAGCCACAGGGTCAGCCTTAGGTCACCATCCTCCCACCCACCTGAGAAAATACCAGAAGAGGGTATCCAGCTGCTAGGGTCCCCAGGAATTGGATGGAGACAATGTCCATCACTGGAGCTGGGAGTGGGAGGCCAGGGCCATGTGGCCATGATCTGTTCTGCCACAGACCCTGCCTGCACAGATTATCTAGGAAGATGGCCTAGCCCTGCGTTCTGAGAGTACTTTATGGGCTATCTAACTTACTGAGGGTCTTGTGGAGGGGGTGCTCCTCTCTGGGGAGGTGGGGCTAGGCCTGAGCTCATTAGATGCCTTCTGCCTATTTCATGGCATGACTGGCTTTTCTCCTATGGGTGGTGAATCAGTTGGGCTCTCTAGCCCCGCACAGAGTCTGGGACGTGGCAAGGTGCCCAAGGACTTGGGGAACATTGGAATTAGCTTGACCCTGAGTGCAAGCCACAAGATTGGGATGTGGTCCAACCTCCCCTGCCTCCACCACTATGACAGCTGCGGCTGTCCAGCAGTTCACAGACCTGCACTTGGGATGGGGATCACGGAGGTGCCTTATCCAGCACATAGCCATGACAGCAGCTGTGCTACACAGTGGCTCCCTAAGGGGCATTTGCTGAGCCTGGCTCGCCTGCCCCTATGTCTTGCTCACCCGCCTCTTGCCTTCGTGTCTCACTCTTGCAGCTCTCCCATTCAGGACATTCCCAAGAAGATGCCCAAAGGCCCCAAGCAGGTAAGGCTTCCCAGAAAAAGCTCAGGCAGTCACCATCCAACCCTTGCAAGGACTGAGTGTGAATCTGGACTTCTAAGAGGGCAGGGTCTTGCCAGAGCCCTCTCACTCCTGACCCAGGTTGAAGGCATTTTGAAGCCACCCTTGGTACCCTGCTCATTATCCTTCCAGCCTCCTGATGAGGCATCAGAGATCTGACCCTGTTCCACCACCACTACCCGTCCCCCTCCTTTGCTGCCATCCTGCTCATCAAACCTGGCTCTGGGGTCTCCCCTGCAGGAGTCCCAGCTCTCACTGGGTGGCCAGCGCTGTGTGGGTGAGCCAGATGAGGAGCTGGCTGGTGCCTTCCCTGTCTTCATCCGGAATGCTGTCCTGGGCCAGAAACAGCTCAAGAGGGCCAGGGCAGAGCCCTGTCGCAGCACAGATGCAGTGAGTGTCTCAGCACAAGTGGCAAGTGCCAGCCGTCTCAAGGGTGGGGCTGGGTAGCCAGCCCCCTAGCCCATCAGCCTGGCACACTCACTTCTTCCTTCTGCTTTAGGTAAGGACAGGCTTCGATGGGCTTGGAGGCCGGACAAAATTCATCCAGCCTGTATCCTTGTTCTGTGGCATTGGGCTGAGCTGAGCTGTAGAGCCTACACCATCCCTTTCCTGTACCCCCATACCCCAGCCTGCCAGTGGCTGCAGGCTCAGGTGTGCAGAACCAGACCTTGCTCAGTGTAGCAGGGCTGCCCACCCCCAAGTCTGAGCTTTTCCTGCCCCCTTTTAGGCCTCTTCCTTGACATCTCCTTCAGACTGACACGACTATGATCCGACCACTGCCCGTTAAACCCAAGGCCAAGGCTAAGCAGAGAATGGGGGCAAGGACAGTGCTCCCTCCCTCCCAGGCCAAGCTAGACACTTTCCTGTGGTAGTGAGAACAGTGAGTCTGATCAATGGCCAGATACATGCCTCTGACTTGTAAGCCAAGGACTGGTGACTGGCTCATCAGGGAGTTTTGGAGGCATGGCCCCTCTTCCAGGACCAGCCCTGAGGGCAAGGGGAGACAAGAAAATGCGATAAGGGTGAGGCCCAGAGACTGCTTCTTCTGCTCTCACTCTGCCTCACCCCCGCCATACTGGGCCTACCTGTGGGAGTTAATGTGACTAGCTCACTGTTCCTGCCGGCAGGACATGCTCCTTGTTCCAGGCTCCCATTTATAACCATGATCAGATGTGGCTGGGCTGTTTCTGGTTCTCCAGACCAGGGTCTTTTGTTGACTGTATGGACCAAAGTGCTTGAGGCTTCCCAGGCAGCTTCAGCCTGCCAAAGCTTCTGCTGGCCTCCGACTTGCTGCTGGGCGTGGCCTGAGCCAAGCAGGATGGGGAATAGGGGATGGTGGTAGGGAGAGAGTTGGGGGAAGATTTCTATGTAAAATAAAAAAGATAGAATCTCTTCTTCCTGGTTCTGGGCTTGTAAATTTGAACCAACACTTTGGAAAACTGTTTGGCATGACTTTCTAAAGCGGGACCTTCACCTAGACTCAGACCAGCAGTTCCACCCTTAGGCATGTGCCCTCTCCTAGGGCACAGGAAGACTCCAGCAAGAATGAGATCACAGCAGCTTTCTCCACAGTCTCGAACCTGGACACAGCCCAAAGGCCATAAGCACGCAAGCGAATGGGTAAGCTGAGGTCTAGTCGCACGGGAACTCAGAGCAAGCACAACAAATAGCTAGTGACACCTCCTCTCTTCCCCACCTCTCAACCCTGCCAGCCGAACTGCTAGCCTTTGGGTCTTAGCTTTGAGAGTGCTTTCTCCTAGAAGACTTCCCTTCTTTTTTGTGTGTGTGAGGAAGATCAGCCCTGAGCTAACATCCACACTAATCCTCCTCTTTTTTGCTGAGGAAGACCAGCTCTGAGCTAACATCTATTGCCAATCCTCCTTTTTTTCCCACCCCCCCAAAGCCCCAGTAGATAGTTGCATGTCATAGTTGCACATCCTTCTAGTTGCTGTATGTGGGACGCGGCCTCAGCATGGCTGGAGAAGTGGTGCATCGGTGCGCGCCTGGGATCCAAACCCCGGGCCGCCAGTAGTGGAGCTCACGCACTTAGCCACTAAGCCACGGGGCCGGCCCCAAGACTTCCCTTCTTGACCCCTAGCTTAGGTGAGGCCTCCTGTACTTCCCTCTCTCACTACTGAGTGGGAGTTCGTCTGTTTCTGCAGGGCCCAGCATGGGCCTGGCACAGGGAATGAGAGTGTGAGTGAATGCTTCTGCAGATCTGGAGGAGCCTGGGGCTTCATGGGGAGGAAATGACACTGTTAGTTAAGGGAGTCAGACCCCTCTGATGCTGCCTTGAGCCAAGGATGTTTAGTGAGGGGAAGAGCAGCATCAAGTTAAGGTGTGCAATGGCTGGATAATAGCACCCTTCTTACCAGCTGAGTGATGTTAGGCAAATTACCTAGCCTCTGTGCTTCAGCTTCTTTAAAGTGGGGACAAGAGCAGCAACTTCCCAGTTGTGGGAGCCTAATGAGTCAGCATTGTAGGTTAAGAATTTATGACAGCTAAGTGAGTAAGTCAGACACAAAAGACAAATTTGTATGATTCGACTTAAATGAGGTATCTAGAATGGGCAAATTCATAGAGGCAAAAGTAGAATAGAGGTTGCCAGGGGCTAGAGTGAGGCGAAAATGAGGAGTTATTGCTTAATGGCTAGAGTTTCTGTTTGGGCTGATTTTAAAGTTTTGGAACTAGATATTGGTGATAGTTGCAAAAAAAAAAAAAAAAAACCTTATGACAGACCTAAATACATAGAGCTGGAAAGAACAATTGTAATCAACTATTTCAGAACTCTGGAGCCTGATTAGACAACAAGGAAAATACTGAATGAAGGGAAAGCCTGTGCTTGAAGCAGCCACCATCCCGCATTCCTCAGCCCCACGACGGTTGTCGGGATAGCAGCTCCACTTCTGAAAGCAGCTGATTGGTGCCAGAGTGGGCAGTGGGGACCTTGCCCTCCAAACATTTGGGGTTGTGCGCTTTGGGTCTGGTGGTACCCTGAGATGCTTGCCTTGGTTTCAGCCCTCTTGGCTGCAATGGCTTGCCTGGTGGTGGCATCTATCAGAAGATTTAAAGGACTAGTGCAGTGCCCAGTGCCTTTTTTTTTTTTTTTAAACCCAAAAGTCTTTATAATTGAACAGAAACTTCAGTGACCATACATAAGGTCACTGTGTATGGTGACCATACACACATACTTTGCAAAAAATAATTTGGAAAAGTCACAAATGCACAGCTTCAGCCCTCAAGAAGCAAAATTTAGCAATCCCTGAAGAGTGGGAGAATCCAGTTTCCAGAGTTACCATAATATAATGCTCAGAATATCCAGGGGTTTTTTTGTGTGTGTGTGTGTGTGTGTGTGTGTGTGTGTGTGTGTGAGGAAGATCAGCCCTGAGCTAAGATCCAATGCCAATCTTCCTCTTTTGGCTGAGGAAGATTGGCCCTGGGCTAACATCTGTGCCCATCTTCCTCTACTTTATATGGGACGCCGCCACAGCACGGCTTGACAAGCGATGAGTCGGTGTGCGCCCAGGATCTGAACCTGCTAACCCTGGGCTGCCGCAGTGGAGCGCATGCACTTAACCACTATGCCACCAGCCCAGCCCAGAATATCCAGTTTTCAACAAAAATTTACACAGCATATAAATAAACAGGAAAGTATGGCCCATTCACAGGAAAAAAAGCATTTCACAGAAACTATCACAAATTTTGGAACTGAAAAGTACAATAACAGAAATGAAAAATTCACTAGAGTCACAAAAGTCAATTGTTTTCTTATATATCAGCAAAGAACAGTTGAAATTAAAAACAATAGCATTTACATTAGCAACAAAAAAAAACTTAGGTATAAATCTAACAAAATATGTGCAAGATCCATATAAGGAAAACTACAAAACTCTGATGAAAGAAAATCAAAGAAGATCTAAATAAATGGAGAGGTATTCCAGGTACATGGAGAGGAAGATACAATATTGTCAAAATGTTACGGGCCGGCCCTGTGGCGTAGCGGTTAGGTGTGCGTGCTCCACTGCTGGCGGCCCGGGTTCGGATCCCGGGCATGCACTGACACACCGCTTGTCAGGCCATGCTGTGGCGGCATCCCATATAAAGTGGAGGAAGATAGGCACGGATGTTAGCTCAGGGCTGGTCTTCCTCAGCAAAAAGAGGAGGATTGGCATGGATGTTAGCTCATGGCTGTTCTTCCTCAGACACATACAAACACACTAAATAAATAAATAAATAAATTCAAAATGTCAGTTCTTCACAACTTGATCTACAGATTCAACAAAATCCCAATAAAAATCCCAGTAAGTTATTTTGTTGATATCAACATACTAATTGGAAAGTTTATAAGGAAAAGCAAAAGACCAGTACCCACCACAATATTGAAGGAGAAGAACAAAGTCAGAGAACTGACACTACCCAACTTCAAGATTTAGTATAAAGCTACACAAATCAACAGTGGTTTTGGCAAAAGAATAGACTAATAGATCAATGGAACACAATAGAGTGCCCAGAAATAGGGTCACCCAAGTATAGGCAACTGATCTTTGACAAAGAAGCAAAGGCAATTCAGTGGAGAAAGGGTAGTTTTTTCAACAAATGGTGCTGGAGCAATTGGACATCCACGTGCAAAAAATAAAAATAAAAATCTAGACACAGTTCCTATACCTTCACAAAAAATAACTCTAAATGGATCGTAGAACCAAATATGAAACACAAAACTATAAAACTCCTAGAAGGTAACACAGGAGAAAATTTAGGTGACCTTGTGTTTGTTGATGACTTTTTAGACACTAAAAGCGTGACTCATGAAAGATAAAAATTTATAATTTGGAATTATAATTTGGAATTATAAATTTATAATTCATTAAATTTAAAACTTCTGCTCTGTGAAAGACACTGTTAAGAGAATGAAAAGGCAAGCCACAGGTTGGGAGAAAATCTTTGCAAAAACATATCTGATAAAGGACTGTATCCAAGATATACAAAGAACTCCTAAAACGTAATAAGAAGCAATCCAATTTAAAAATGGGCAAAAGGTCTGAACACACCTCACTAAAGATCTACATATGGCAAATAAGTGTATGAAAAGACTCAACTTCACAATGTCATCAGAGAACTGCAAATTAAAACAAAAATGAGATTAGTACTACACACCTATTAGAATGGCTAAAATCCAAAACACTGACACCACCAAAAGCTGACAAGGGTGGGGAGCGACAGGAAGTCTCATTCATTGCTGGTGGGAATGCAAAATGGTACACTTTGGCAATTTCTTACAAAGCTAAACATAGTTTCATCATAACCCAGCAATTGTACTCCTAGGTATTTACCCAAATGAGTTAAAAACTTGTGTCCACACAAAACTCTGCACATGAATGTTTATAGCAGCTTTATTCATAATTGCCAAAAAATGAGGAGCAACCAAGATGTCCTTCAATAGGAAAACTATGTGTGTGAGGTGTGAGGGAGTATGTGGAAACTGTCCTCACTCCCTAACATGGGACTAGGGGTAGTAGCAGTTATGAGAAAAGTAGAAATTCACCTAAATTTACCAGCCTCTTCATTAGGTTCTCCCCTGGATGCTGAAAGTGTTCTACCCGACTCCGAATTTCCAAAATAGTTGCTTCAGACAGTTTCAGCCAGCTCATTTGTTGTTTCAGTAGAGGGGCAGATTCCTGGAGTTTTCTACTCTGCTATCTTCCCTGACATGACTCTCAGACAACATTCCCTTAAATGATCAATGTGTCAAAGAAGAAATCACAAGGGAAATTAGAAAATACCTTGAGATAATGAAAACACAACATATCAAAACTTATGGGAAGCAGCAAAACCTGTACTGAGAGGGAAATTTATAGCTATAAACACTTATATTAAAAAAGAAGAAAGATCTAAAATCAGTAACCCCATTGTATACCTTAAGGAACTAGAAAAAGAAGAGCAAACTAAACCCAAAGCTAGCAAAAGAAAAGATATAATAAAGATTAGAATATATATAAATCAAATAGAGAATAGAAAATGTGATATTGTGATTTATAATAAGAAATATAGGGCCAGCCCCGTGGCTTAGCGGCTAAGTGCACGTGCTCTGCTACTGGCGGCCCGGGTTCGGATCCCAGGTGCGCACCGATGCACCGCTTCTCCGGCCATGCTGAGGCCGAGTCCCACATACAGCAACTAGAAGGATGTGCAACTATGACATACAACTATCTACTGGGGCTTTGGGGAAAACAAGGAGGAGGATTGGCAATAGATGTTAGCTCAGAGCTGGTCTTCCTCAGCAAAAAGAGGAGAATTGGCATGGATGTTAGCTCAGAGCTGATCTTCCTCACACAAAATAAAGAAATATATTTGATCTTTGTCTTGGCACAGAGCTCCAAAAACCCTTGGAATTTCTTGTGATGAGAGTGATAAAGGTCTTTTGTTATGTTAATGACTTGGCTTTTGGAAAGTACCTAAGGATGGGAGCTGGTTGCCAGTGGAGCCAACCACATGACTAGAGTGTTGGAGCTTTCAGTCCCACCCCTTCCACCTCTTAGAAGGAGAAAGGAGCTGAAGATTGAGTTCAATTACCAATGGCCAATGATTTAATCAATCATGTCTATGTAATGAAGTCTCCATAATAACCCAAAAGGACAGGGTTCAGAGAGCTTCCAGGTTGGTGAACACATGGAGACTCAAGGAGAGTGGTATGCCCAGAGAGGGCGTGGAAGCTTCATGCCTCTTCCCACATACCTTGCCATATGCATCTCTTCCATCTAGCTGTTCCTGAGTTATATCCTTTTATAATAAACTGGTAATCTAGAAAGTAAAATGTTGTGGGCTGCCCGGTGGCGCTGCGGTTAAGTGCGTCCGCTCCGCTGCAGAGGCCCGGGGTTCGCAGGTTTGGATCCCGGGCGCGCACCGACGCGTTGCTTGTTAAACCATGCTGTGGTGGCGTCCCATATAGAGTGGAGGAAGATGGGCACAGATATTAGCCCAGAGCCATCTTCCTCAAGAAAATAGGGGAGGATTGGCATCGGATGTTAACTCAGGGCTAGTCCTCACAAAATAAAAAAGAAGAAGGTAAAATGTTTCCCTGAGTTCTATGAGCCACTCTAGCAAATGAATCAAACCCAAAGAGGGGGTTGTGGGAACCTCTAGGCTATAGCTGATCAGTCAAAAGCACAGGTAACAACCTGGACTTGTGATTGGTGTCTGAAGTTGGGGGAAGAGGGCAGTGTTGTAGGACTTAGCCTTTAGCCTGTGGGATCTGATGCTATCTCCAGGTAGATAGTTTCAGAATTGAGTTGAATTGTAGGACACCCAGCTGGTGTTGGAGAATTGCTTGGTGGTATAGAATAAATACGCACATTGGAGTTGGCGTGAGAATCCTAAAAAAACAATAGGGGAAATCAACAAAATCAAAAGCTTGTTCACGCCGGCCCCGTGGCTTAGTGGTTGAGTACTCGTGCTCTGCTGCTGGCTGCCTGGTTTCGGATCCCGGGCGCGCACCGATGCACCGCTTC